GAAATTCCAAAATTTGAAAATATTTTGTCATACTATCAATTCTTTGGCATACAAATTACATTTTCGAACACAACATTGATTTGCTCAATTCGTGTTTCTATTATCAGAAGCGAAGTTTTTATGTTCTATCACCTGTACCCAATCATCCAAAACCACCATATTTTTATTCTCAAATATCCCTATTTTTGGCACGAGCAGCTTCGAAAAATCAATTCGAATCGAACATGTGTCCATCATTGGGGAAATATATTTCTATATTGAAGACTATTACCCACAGGACCAGTGTACAACCCAGCTAATTGAAGGCAATATCACAATAAACTGTCACCCTATTCCAATCAACGTAGACGAATCCATAGCCGAACAAGTCCCCCAAGAGGAAGTGCTGATCATCCCCGTACGAGAAGAAATAATTTTTTCCAAGTGCAGAGCTGATCGATATATCGAAATAAACACCCCCGCATTCGTTAAAATTCCCAAAGCACGAAGAGTTCGAATAACCCACAAGACGTTCTTCAACAGTACGAAAATTCAAAAGGGAGAAACTCTGATTCTGTCAAAAATCCAAATCAACCCGAATGTCTACGAAACACAAAACTTCTCAAAACTCAACTTAGACGAAAAGTAGGCACTCCACAACTCGACAGAAAAGTTGTCAACAGTCTAAAAGATCGATGTAGTCGATTGCAAGAAGCTTCTTCTCAGTAACCGTGTAATTCTATTCGGAGTCATTTAGAGTTTGAGATGCGGATGCAGTTGGTAAATCTTGGCCAATGGGTCCAGAGTTAATTTTCCCGCATCCGTAGTGAGATTAAAACATTTGAAGATGTCAGGGTATTGTAGAATTGGATCTCTTATCAGCGTATTTTTACGAATGTTGAAACATTCCAAAAATTTTGCATTATTTCGATTTCTGCCCCTTTCTTCAGACATTTTGTTAGATAGTAACCCAAATTGGCTACTTTCTTGCGAAGAAATTCTGATTTGTCAAGCCAGATATTGAAATTGTAGCTCCTTAGTCGATCGAAGACCGATCTCAATCGTTAAAGGGTGGTTGGTTCTTGGAGAGATGTTGAGAAAATAATAATATCATCAAGGTATACCAGACATTTTTGTTTCTGAATACCACGTAATATGTTATTCATTAGTCTCTGAAACGTGACCGGAGTGTTCTCCAAGCAGAAAGGCATCCTGAGGTACTCGTAATTCCCTTATTCGGTATTGAAGGCTGTTTTCTTGATGTCATATTCTTCCGTCTCTATTTGAGAAAATCAGCTGGCTAGGTCTGGAGTCGTGAAATACTGACATTTCCCCAGTTTGTCCAATATATTTGTGATATTGGGCAGGGAGTATCTGTTAACTATAGTTTTATACTTAAGCTTACGGAAGTACACGACTAATCTCTATCTTTGCTTACCGGATGAATTAGCTTTTTTTGGCAATAACCATGGAGAGCTGATTGGTCTTATAATTTTCTGGAAAAGCATTTTTTTGATTTGACTTTCAACCTCCTGTTCGTGAATGAATTAGTACCGGTATGATTTGGTATATACTGGTATAATATACATATATCTTCAATCAAGTTTTACTTTCAGAGAAACTGAAAAGTTTCCATATGAAACAGAAGAAAATCACTGATATAGTAGAAGGACCTCAACTGGAGGAAGTATGGGAGATTTTGATATTTTCTGACGATAATGAACTTGATAATGATGTTAACAATGATATTCCAAAGACTAAGAAACGAGATACAAGGATTTTACATGAAATACACAATGAAAAACAGTCAGAATCATCACCTAAAATAATTGTCCTTCAAAATATGACCATTGAGAAAGTTCATAGAACTCCATTGAAAGAGAGTCTCACAATATGATCAGATTGATGGAGAGTTAATTTTATCACGTTTCAAAAAAGTCATGTTTTGGCCAAACAAGTGGGAAAAAAACTCAGAGGAAAAGAAAAAAATCCCTTCAGTTACAACTTCAGCTTCTTGAAATCAATATCACATGGAAAAAGAACAAGAAATAAAAGGGATTGAAGCAGAAAAAATCGAAAAAAAAAACGTGAAAGAGATTATAACGAAATAGAGAAACTGGAAAATTAGATGAATATTTAATTCTCAATGAAAAGTACATTGCCTACTGAAATTACGCTCGGCGATGTGAATTATTCAATAGAGAAAGTATATTTTCAATAAAACTGAAGTAATTTTCTTCATTCGAAATGAAAATTCCGAGGTAAATTTCAATCATTTTTCCCGGTGTAGAGGAAGCAAGGCAAAAACAGAAAAAGAAAATATCTATGAAGACTCTGAACATGAACTAACAAGTGATGAGGAGGTAAATGAAAACAATTCATCAGTTGATGTTCCTAGTACTATTAAAGAACTGGAACCAAGCAGGGTGTTCAATAGGGCTATGTAGAGAAGTGGAATTAACACTGTAAATGGCCCAAAGAAATCGAACAGATTTGGTATGATTATGAGGAAATCGAGGCAAATATCAAACTTCCACAGAAGATCAATAGACGTGGTTGTTTCTCGTTGTAAAAGAAATGATGAAATGAGCAAAAGTTAGAAATAATAATTCTACATATTTAATTTGATTTGTTTGCAAATAAAATTCAATAATCTTCTTTCATTTTTTTATTCATTAAAATTCGAAGGGCCTACCTGAATTAAGAGCACCCGAACTGTCTGATTAATCTTCTGGGTCTGTCTGAATTTAGACCAGGAAATGTCGAAATTATAGTATCTACGAATCCGATTCATGACCATGGAATAGCATCCAAAAGATCGGTTTCAAAAGCACAATGAGCAAATTTCAATAATGAATTATTTAGTACAATAGACTCCAAATGAGCTAAAGAATATCTTAAATCACTGTGTTAATTGCTCTTAAAGTGTATAAATTATAGACATTTACCGCATATATTTTTTATTGATAAACAGACTTCGAGGAAATTCTGATCAGCGATAAAAAAAACCGGCTAAATCCAGTGGGATAGGTAGTCTGAATTTTGATAAAAGTTCTGAAATTAAATGGGCATCTCTTATAACTTTTTCTTTCAATGACAAATGCATTTGGACATGATTTTAACGAACTATTTCAAAACTACGTTAATCCACTCGTGTGGACAGATTAAAAAAATATTGCTATTTTTGTCGATTTTTGATTTCGAAAAATTATAAAAGTAGGCCCTGAAAACGACGACTCATTTATGAAATGTGTTATTCTATAGATTTCTTGAATATGTACCTAATGAAAAAAAAAACAATTCCATCCGTTTGAAAAATATATTTTATAAGGATGCCTCCATTTTAAATGGGCCAATCTGTAGATATGATGCTTCACAATATTTTAAAAGTGGCTTGTATTGCTCTTATTGGCCTGAGATGAAAAACAGGGGTTACAGGAGAATTTTGAAACGAATAGCACTTTTATATGTAGGATGTTTCCTAACTACGGCACGAAATTTCTGAGGGTGATTCGTTAGGCCGTTTCAAGAAAAAAAGTTCCTATGATCATATGACCAAGTTGCTTCGTTTCTGCGATACAGGGCCTTGAAGTTCAAAAAAACGGTATTTATAAAATATCATAAATATCCTTACACCGATTTGGTGTAAGGTTACAGTTATTTGAAGCAATAAGGCGCTATTTATCCCTAACTAGATTGAAATTATCAGGTCCAATGGAGTCTCAGTGGGCACCACAGCCAACAATATTGGGGAAAAAGTACGCCACTGACTTCATGTTTTTTTATTTTTCAGATCAATCAACGAAAAATACAACTTTTTCGTCGCTTGTGTTTTCTTCATATCTAGCTTTGTTTTTGAGAAAAAATTTGAAGAAGATCTGAATAGTTATAGGAACACGACCAACTCCCGCTAAACGGTCAGCTCTCGCTGAAACCGATGACACGGAAAGAGGGGATAGGTGAAAGCACTACAGCCCGTTTTGAAGAAGAGCTGCAAATCTCCAGGAGATTTGAAAGGAGTATTCTCCATGACATTGCAATTGTCAATTATTAAATTCCTCAAGTCATTCACATCCAGTCTAAATTGGTAGCAAATTGTCAAAGACGACTCTCGTTGATAGGAAGACTTAACAGATTGCCTCTGGTCTGGATTCCTGGCAATACTGGCCTGGAAGGCAATGAGGCTCCCTTGCAAAGGAGGGTGTTGCAAGCAGCTTCATCGGACCAGAACCTGTCATTGGCACCTGGATGGCCAGAAGTTTTATGGATTTCTGGCAGAATATTTCAGGATTGGCTCACTTCAAGGCGTTTATTCTCACCTTTCGAAGCTTGTTACCAAACAGTTGTTGGAATACAGCAGGGATGAACTACGATGTCTAACAGCAGGCCTTCTTACAGGTTTATGTCATTTTAATCATCATATGCAGAGACTCAGACTGTCGGAAGACAGTGTGTGTCGCCTCTGTTTCTCTATACAAACTGATCGGCTTCGTTGAGAAGCCGGGTTTATTTCGTCGAGTGTGAACAGGTGTGAGAGGTACGGTGGAAAGTCGAATAGACCCACTCACTTTGGACCTAACCTAACCCCAGGTATTTTTGAACGTATCAGACAATCAATGACAAATCGAATGCAGTCGTGTATTTCATCAGAAGGTGGACATTTTGCTCATTTACTTCAATGCCGAAATTGTTCATTTCATATTTACTTTATGTTGTCCATGGATAGTTTTCAGAAATTATTTTTTTCTCGTTTCTGGAAAACGAAGCTTGATATGAAGAAGACACAAGCAAATACAGGAAATAATTATAATATAAATATTATTTTCTGGACTGATGATCATAAAATGAGATGCTAATAATACATACTTAATAGGTTGGTTACCAAGCAACAGAAATAGTAGGTAATTTAAAAAATCTATTTCAGAGGCATTGACTCTAATCGAATAATTCACAACGGGGGTAAATGCAATCAATATATTTTGCCGAGATAAAGTTGTGAAAAATGCCTCATATACACTTACCATCTTCTTTACGTGCTGCCAGGCCTGCAGATTCAGGCAAAACAAGTTCCATTTGAACAAGAAGTAAACGAACGTGCTTAAAATGATAAAAAATGAATACACAGTGTATCGATAGGTATATAAAATTCCAGGCATCCTGCGGGTTAAGAGCATAGTGGTAGTGGAAAAAATGAATGTGTATTCAGTGGTAATTTTGGTAGAAATAGAATGGAAAATGGTTCATAATTTCACAGCAACTATTATTTCCGTATCACATCGTTTTGGGAAATTGAAAATCAATGGAATTCACGTATTTCACTGTAAAAGGTGAGTACTTTCCAACTTATGTTGATAACACATTTTCTCGGGCATCTCCGGATACTGTAATGTTCTTTTTATAAAATAACGGACAAGTGTTGTTTCTGTATATCCTATACTATCAAGGTACCCGATTGAAAAGTAATGTCCTGTTGTCAACCGATAACACCCGAAAGCAATCCGTATTCACACTGACATTAATGAACGGGAATGTCGATGCCAATGCGCACTGCGGCGTTGACATGTTGTGGTAACAAGGGCGCATGTTGCAAGTTCTTGATTTTCCTCCCATTACATGATGTAGAAAGAGTGGTCAGGAATAATATAATTACTAGAATGTACGAGGAAGTATTGAAAAATTATTAACCTTCTATAGAAGCAAACAAAATTTGAGAGTCAAAATATATTTTTCCTCTTATTTCGGGAGGCAAATTTACAATCTTCACACTTTTTTTCTTGGGAAAAACATGATAGTCAGACGGAGCCAGATCTGGCAAATGAGTAATTCGGATCCAAAATCACGAATTGTCTGTATGGCCATATGCGATATGTGTGCAAGAGCATTGTACTACTACAAAAACAAAATACCTTTGGTCAACTCTCCGCGTTTTCTCTCCATGACTTTTTCTCGTCAGTATTGTTGGATATTGAATAGTAATTCTTAGTTATTGTCTCGCTCTTTCTAAAAAATCCTTCATGAATACATGAATGGTAATCCCAAAAAAACGAAAGCACGGCTTCAAAAACGTTTGCATCTTTTTCAAACCGACCAGAGATAGAACCCTTGTATTTTTTGTCATGTCTTAATCGAAGTGAACTAATATATGATGGATAGGAATCCGTTAACTAAAAATAAAATTGATGATAACATTTTCAAGGGCCTCGTATATTACGTGTATTAATATGTTTTGTTTACTTTCAACGAATGCAGAAACTTTCATCAAGAATAAATTTTTATCGAAAAACCCTCAATAAATAAGTTTTCCAAATGGTGCATACTTTGGGGATGACACTGTATTTACTGTATTACTGTATATTATATTTGTTGGTTTTCTGCATTGTAGAAGTGTCATTCATTATGTGGGAGTATATCAACGTTTCATCGACCTGAGTGGGCTGGTACCTCTTTTTGGTTTGGATTTTAAATATTTTGGCACCGCGGATATAGTGATTTTCTGATAAATTATGATTTTTTCTGTAGATAATTAATTCCGAAGATATACGTAACTTGGCTGTAAGTATCTGCTTCGCGCTCTTTGTGCTGTTTTTACGGTATCGCATATTTTATTGGCTCATTGTACCTTTAGATTTATCCTCTACATAAAAAAATATTTCGATTCATTATATTATTTTTCCATTAAACTCATTACATTACATCATATATTTATAGTCAAATTAATTCGGAAATATTTTTCATCTTTGATAATACATTTCAAGCAGACGAGCATCTGAAAGAAAACCAAACTGTCTTCTGAAAAAATGAGAGCGTGATGAAACAAAAAAAACCATTGAACGATGATCGCCACCGTTCCCAGAGAATCGACGCCGACCCCGTAAAATTTCTTTCAGAGTCGCAGTCACCCCATGTGACTTTTGAATTCGCATGTGACTTCCATCCAAGCGCTTTATTCGAACGGCCCAAAGACGTAGGTCGGGCTGGTGTCAAAATAGATCCTCGGAAGATGTGTTGGTGTAGGAGCCGTCAGTGGAACTTGCAGCGGTCGAGATCGTACACACGGCGCTTCCGTCGCTCACATTTAAACGACCTTGTGTTGCCCTTGTGCGGTGTCAGTGTGCGAAATTTTTCGGCGCTCTTTCGTTGCAATACTAGCAATTAGACGGTGACGCCTATTTATCTCCTGAATAATAAACGTCGAAGATCAGGTTGGTCGCTTTTCATGTTTTTTCTTTTCCAGTTCGCAGATTTCACTTTAGATTGGGTTATTGCGATTCGTTGTAATGTTGAGGTAGGTTAGGTTGTGTTCAATGTTGACGAATTTTCCCAATACAGAGATAAGGTATATTTATACAAGTATTGTTGACGCTTGAGTATCGTTAACATAACGTGATAGCAGGAGAGGTTCAATTAGTTTGGTTAGTTGAACTACTATTATTAGAAATATACGCGGTTGTCCTTAATAGACTGCCTCGTGATAAAATAATTTAAAGAGAACGACATAGGAAAATTTTGTGAATGCGTATATTGTTTGTTCCATAACAGATTTTGAAATATATGTATTCAGTGAAAGGCAAAAAATTATGTATAACAACAGCTCATTTTCTTATTTGTTGGATTGTTTACCTATTTATTTTGTAGAAAATCATACTGAATATAAGTTAAAGAAAATGACTTTCATTCAATTTCTACCAAGATTTTTATTTGGCACCTTTTTTGTACCTACAACAGGTACCCGAAATAACAAAAATGTTACCTGTATTATCAATACCTTATTTAAGATACCAAAAAATAATAATTATCTATTTAACTTCTATAACATATCAAAATTACAGACTACTGATACAAAAGCACTACTTGTGAATTGCTCCACAAGCAATCCTGCGCTGCGATCAACTTACAAGTACCGTTTTGGATGAGTACTCGGTAATTTTGATATGTTATAGAAGTAAAATAATTATTGTTTTTGGTATCTCAAATAAGGTTTTGATAATACAGGCTACATTTTTGTTATTTCAGGTACCTGTTGCAGGTACAAAAACATTGGCTGTATAATTATATATGTAAGGATTTGTTTGTCAGAACTTAGTCAGTTTACTTAAAATGGTTTAGTGAACCGAAACTGCACCACCAAACCTTTTTTGTAAGTTATGTTATTGGATCAGGAGTTGGGGAGTTGAGAAGCTCTCGCTCCTGAACTAAATTTACAGGAAGGTCAGTTGGAGTCGTGAACTCGACATCCATCTCCTCTGTAGACTCGCTCCTGAACTAAATTTACAGGTCCGTTGGAGTCGTAGACTCGACATCCATCTCCTCTGTAGACTCGCTCCTAAATTAAATCTACACGGAGGTCAGTTGGAGTCATAAACTCGACATCCATCTCGTCTGTAGACTCAGCGTCAGGAATAATTTTTGAGTTTACTCTGTCCATAAAAGTCCCACGAGTAGCCAGGGAAAGAAGGTCAATCACGGCAGAGCCCCGCATTACCGTAACATGGCGATGCTACGACGAGAGGGCGCCCGGTATCTGGAAGGTTCCGTAGAGACAGCTGGTAGGCTCAGTGTCATTCATCCTCTCGGCATGGATACACACACCTTAGGATTAAAAGCAATCGTTGGGATGCCATTCAGTTAGGGAATAACAGAACCACAAGTGATTCTGTCATTCCCGTATCCAGCGGGGCTACGTGGAAGCAAGCATCCGATGGCCGGTTTGCTCAACCCCCACATCCCAAGCCAATTCACTCGCCGAAAACAGCATGTACAGTGGTTCAGGCAGTGAAAGATGAACAAGTACAGCCAACCCGCAAAAAAATAATTCGTGTGCTCTTATTGTTCTTTTCGGAAGATTTAAACAAATCATTGATAATAACGATGGACAATTCATTTTGCTTGTTATTATTTTTTGTAAAAATGAAGAACTTACATTTATCCCACAGCTATACTACTCTTATTAATTACATAATCTATATGTTCATCGAAAATAAGTTTGGGGTCAAAAATAACTCCTAAATCTTTAAATGAATTACCTCCTAAAAGCAAGATACTATTTATGTGATATGAAAATGTGTGGATAGTTTTGTTACGGGTGAATGTGATGTAACTACATTTGGAAAAATTGAGATACGAATCGGTTTGTTTAAAAAATTAAAATAAATGATTTCACTCTGAATTCTCAAGCAATCTGAGAAGGACTTTATTTGAAGGTACATTTTCAAATCATCTGCATACATTAAAAACTTGGCATTCTCAAAACATTGTTTAATGTTATTAATACAGATAATAAAAAATAAGGGCCCTAGATGGGACCCTTGCGGAACTCTAGAAGGTGTTGGATAATGTTCAGATGGATAACAGTCTATAAAGATGTACTGGGTTCTTCAGCGAGTCTCCGAAGTAATGTATTCTGTTCTGTTTTGAAATCTGTTTTTCCGTTAATCAGCTGTCGCCCCCATACGAACGACAACTCTCAGAAGTTGAGAAACTTGTGCGAGCTAAGGACTAACGAGGTCTCACCTTTTAACGTATGTGTGATTCCTAACACGGATGTGACTAATTTTGTCAAAAGCCTTGCTGAAATCTGTATAAATAGTGTCAACTTGAATTTTCTTATCCAGATTGTCATGTAAAAATTCAGAGTAACAAAACAGATTCGAATTAAGAAACCGATTTTTATAAAACCATGTTGCTCAGGTATAATGATGTTTTCAAGCGAATGAAATGCATATTTATAAATTAAAGTTCAAATAGGTTTGGCTACATTATCTTTCCGTTCCGTTACATAAAGGATACGATCTATCAAATACTCTATAACATTTCCTATGCAAACTAGAAAGGGGAGGTTCCTTCCTCTTGAGCACCTGGAGTGCACAAAGATGGTCTTTCACTCAACCTTTGGACAAGCATAACAAAAGATCGACAGACAACTAATCAAAAATTGAAAAAACTATATATATATAAANTAAAAAAATAGCGTTTATTCAACACGTTAATTTCGAACACGTCAAAATATGTTATTTTATAGTAATGATAATAATTCGCTCCTCTGACATCATATGGATAAGCCGATACACGAGGAAGTAGTATTATATTACCATTTGCGGCATTCTCACAGTATTGACGAGATACTAAACTCTGTCCATCCAACAAACAAAGTGACCCAAACAATGATAGATGCGTGATCACCAAGCACATTTGAATCTATTGAGTAAAATACACAATATACGGTATTTTGGAGTTTAAAATTTTTAAAATGTCAATTACTGATACGGCTGAAGAAACTGCCGCATATTACTAAACAAATGTTGGTCTTTTCTTACTGCGACTCTGTACAAATAACCTTGCTTGGGAGATTACGTGCATTATGCATGATAATGTTTTGAAGCACTCTGTTGCTTGTATGGACAGAGTATAGTTACCTTACGCTCCGGGAATATTGAATACATTGTGAGAGTTACCAAATTCATTGAATATACTTATCCTCCATTCTCAGATCACTTTGAGCAAATAAGCCTGATGTAGCCCTCTCCGATCATCACAGTAAGACTATAACCTTCGTCAAGTTTCAACTCTAGGTGAGACGAATATCTTCCGAAGAGAAGAGGATCAAAGGATAGACATTTTAGACTTACTCTTCAAACTCCGCAGTCTCTACGCAAACCACTCCGTTGAGATGGATATTTTGTTCATTGAAGACCTTGGTGTACTGATGCCCTCTCTACTTTCGAACATCATAGGTGGAATAATGCTTTCCCTAGTCTTTGCTTGAGATCACACCGGGTTCCATCAAGACGGCAAAAATCTCAGCTCGACAAACGTAGAAAGCTGTTTTTCTTGGTTTGCTACATCTTTTCAGGAGCACACGATTCTTGGATCTAATGCTGGTCGAGATGCTGGCATGCCCTTCGAATGGGTCGGACCTTCGGGTCCAAGGCCTGATCAGCAACCACCCTTTAGGTTAAAAAAATATTTGGGTTCAATTAGAATGATGAAGTTGGAATTCATTCATAATCACACTCATCTGCTGCAGTGTTACGAATTACATGGATAATAAGTAACGAACTAGTAAATGCCTCATTTCGTTTTATTGATTCATAAAAAGGAAATGGCTTGTCAATTTCTGGCTTTGACATCTGTTGTAGACTATGTGTTGTTAATGCTTTATACCACACATCACACCATACTGCACTGATTACGTTAATAAATTGGCGAATTACCAATTTCCAACGATAAATATAATTCGCATATGGCATCAAAACAGACATGTTTAAATTGATGAACAAATATTCAGTAACATTATGACTGTGGTTATGAAATATTTCACACGAAACTCCGTAGAAAACCTTTCTAAACAGTAGCTCAGGCTTACGAGCCTGCATAACGTGATACCAGCTATATGTATATATCCTGAGGGTAGAATTATCTGATCATAAATATATCGACATAAAGTCTAAACCATCATTTAGTTGTTCCCTACGAACAACCTGAAAAATCTCCCAAGCACTTGTGCGAGGTNTGAATTAGGTACTTTTAATTTGAAGTGAATTATGAGAAAATCAAGTACCAAAGTATAATTATAAAGTTTGTATGTACCTACTTAACGTAGTGATTTATTATACTCTTACAAGTAAAAGTGTATAAATAAGTATTATAAAATAAAAAATTGTATTATTCCTGGTTCACCTTCTTTATATTGGGGGGAGGGGGCCCATCCGATGAATTTGCCATGGGCCTCGAACGGTATAGTTACGCCACTGGTACAGTAAGTATACTTACTACGTATGTACTCGCAATAATGAATCGATTGTTTTCAAACATGTATTGATTGAACTGGAGAATATAAATAAGTACTACTAATATCAATAAACCAATGATAAAAATAAAGTCGTTTTTGACCACAAATAACAAATCGAAAATCTTCCTCAGAAATATGTATAAGTATGTGCTCATTCACAATTCATTTCATCGCAACCTTATTGTAATATTCGAAACGAATTTGTTTTATTAACCTAGGTCCGGGTTTAAACTAATACTGATAATTGTCAAGGTTCCCAAATGTTATCTTTATCTCATTTCAAGTTAGGTTACTCCCACGCAAGTGAATTTCAAATTGTCCTAGAATTAGTAATGTCGAAATCAGGTTACTTACTGTATTCTTATTTATCTGCACAGGTATACACTGTGTCCAAGATAAGAATGATCAGCATGG